CAAGATTTATATCTCTTTATAATACTCAGGACTAGTAGCCATTTATATAATAAAGCTAAGTAAGTTATCTAATAGTATACATATAGCTTTATATAAATACTAAATATAGATATATTAGATAAGCTACATGATCCAATCAGCTACATACTAATTCTGCCGGCAGTAAACACCAAAAATCGTTTTTGCCCGATGGCCGCTATTAACCGCCGTAGTGTGGATCACGGGGCCGACGATCGGGGATGCTCTTCTTGCATCTTCGAGGTGAGCTGTCCCCTCCACCCGCATACAGCTCTATACTTGCGTCTTTCTCGCAAACCCCGTCACATTGCGCAGCTGTCAACTAAGTTTTTGCTCCTATAACTGCGCACTGGCAATGGTGTAGCGCCATTGTGAGCGCATCCCCGCGCATCCAACGCATTCTACCTCTCCACAACCACCCGCCTCCATGCGAGCGGTACTGCCGGGGAGGCCCCCAACGAAGCTCCAGGCTTACAGCACCGCGCTGTGGGATGGACTTCGTGTTGTGGTAAGCTCTCTGCATGAACCTCTTCAGCTTCCCCGGTGTTCTGTAAGCGTGGATGTCGCTGATTCGGCGCTTTCTGCGCACTCTCTCCGCAGGCATACATATCCGGCCATGCACTAATTATCCTCGGCGGTCCGCACAAGCTCCTACAAACCATCTATGTCGACGATACCGACGCCCTGGAGGCTGTCACCATAGATGAGCTCTCCGGAAAGATCGCCGTATGCGGTGGACCCGATGTGTTTATCTACCAACCGTATGGCATCCAGCATGAAACCTTGAAGGTCCGTGGTCAATGAGATGGGAAAGATACAAGCTATACGAGAAGTGCATGCTGATGGATCTATGGGTTAGTGGTCTCTAGTCCAAACCTTTCGCAGCGAAGACGACAATGAGACTATTCGTACCCTGTCATGGGGCTCCTCCGAGGAGCTGCTTCTCGGCAACTCTCACCTCACTCTCTGGTTCTTGAACGATACCCCGCGCCAAGTTTGGAAGCAGAAGCTGGCTTCTCCCGTTAAATTCGCGCGCTTCTCTCCCGATGCAACTCTCCTTGTCACCACTGGACATTACGACCGCATGGCCAAAGTATGGCGCCGACTCGCATTCGGGACGGACATTCGTTTCGAAGTGTCATATCTTCCCCACCCTACAGTCATTACCGGGATACATTGGCGAAGACCGTACCATCGAGAGCAGTCTATGGACAATGTATTCTATACCGTATGCGCCGACAATAAGATTCGGGTATGGGCGACCGTGGATCATCATGCGCCGACCGCCTTGCAACTATGGGCGCAAATTGATATGGCCGCTTCTGTTCAGCCAAGGCATGCGACCGACAAGAGCGATCCGACCCGTCGATATGGCTTCATTGTGGACAGTCGGGACTTTTGCATGGCTACTGAGCGAGCTGTGCAGAGAAGTACGGGGAACAAGGATAATCACACTCTGGAACATATCATCGAAGTCGCGAATAAGAGCCCTGAAGTCTGTGTCGTGATTGATGGTCAAGGGCATATGTCAGCCTGGGCCCTGGAAGATGTTGGGTCCAAGGTCAAATCTGAAATGCACATGTTCAATATTCTACACGTGGAAGGCCTGGACTTCGCGTTCATGCCCGGTGTCTCTCCGGAAGAAGACTATGCGCAGCTGCATGCATTCCAGGGTGCAGAACCAGGCGACTCCATCAGCATTCTAGTGCATCACTTTGACGGCCGGATCGAGTGGTTCGATTCCCCGGTAGATGTGCTTTTTGATCCTGCTCCGCGCAAAAACCGGGTGTCTATGAAGGCGTCATGGACCGGCCACAATGGCCCCATAAAGAAGATCGTTCGTAATGCCATTGGCCACACGCTTGCCTCGCGTACGGATGATAACAAGGCGTTGATCTGGAGGCAAAAGCAGCGAGAGAGTGGTACGGCGCTTCTTCGACAGAGCGAGCTGTTCTCTGACGAACATATACATCGCAGTTGCGTGCTAGAAGACGGCGACTTTCTGGTCAACCTCCATCACAACGGAATCTCCTTCTGGGATATCCGTCCATTTCATGCCCAGAAGCTGGCGGCCACAACGTTTGAATTATCAAGCAAGCCACTGTGTGTCTTGCCTATCCCTACAGCAGAGCAGAATGGGGTTGTCTACGTGGCAACTATTGGCGCGAGCATGGACGGAATTGCTTGGGAGTTTCAACCGCCGACCTCTAAGCAGACCAACGGAACAGCGGATGGGACTCAATGTCAGCTGCGGAAATTCTGTACATTCCATCTGGGGTTGGATGAGGACATGGCTTACATCTTGCCTGTCGACCCAGCCGGCCGCAAAGCCGAGATGCCCGGCTTCTTTGACCTCTTCTCGCCGGACATAGCACTTTCATATACTAAGACTGGCATTATCCGCACCTGGACGGCCAAGATTGACAAAGAGAAGAGCCGCGTCGAATGGCTCTTGACTTCGACCGTAGAGACAGGTATCAAGAACCCGTCGCTTGCGAGCGGGAGCTCCATCAAGAAAGCAGCGCTTGTGGATGAAGACCGCACGCATCTGACGATATGGGATATGAATGATGCACAGCTGGAGTATGAAGAACATTTCTCACAAGGCGACATCATCCGTGACTTAGATTGGACGTCAACGCCAGACATGCAGTCTATCCTAGCAGTTGGGTTTCCTCATAAAGTCATTCTTTTATCCCAGCTCCGATATGACTACCTTGACTCGCGCCCGTCGTGGACACAGATCCGCGAAATCTGGATCCGCGACCTTACTCCTCATCCTATCGGGGATTCTTGCTGGCTCAGCAATGGCTGCCTCGCCATTGGAGCTGGAAATCAACTCTTCGTGTATGGGAACGAAATTGAAAGTTCCGATCATCTGATATCTCAATTACGTATACCAGCTCGCGGATCTTCTACCGTCGATCTCTTCGAGGTTGTGAGCCGGCTGAATGGACCGCTGCCCGTTTTTCACCCGCAATTCCTGGCGCAGTGCATTCTGAGCGGCAAAAACAACCTAGTACATGCGGTCTTGCTAAATCTTCATCGCATACTCAAGTTCTACACGGAAGGTGATGACATTGACGGCTTCCTGGACATGCCCTTGGAAAGCTTTTACATTGAACATGATGTAAGCACCTATATGATAGCCACACAATTCCGCAGCTAACCTGTTAGACCCCCCAACGAGCCACCTCCAAAGGCATAGATTCCTCATATGCCGATATCAACATGGATGAAGAGTCGACCGTAGTGGATGAGGATACGGCCCTGGTGCTCAACGAGAACCTGGCGCGATTTACCCTGCCCCAGCTTTCCAGCCAAGAGCAATTCCGCTTGGTGGACACGATTGAGTGTGTTGCAACTGTGGAGAAGCATCGCCGCTCAATGGATGACAATGCTGCGCGATATCTCCTCTTCTTCCGTCAGCATATGCTACGCAGGTCCCAAGGAGTGGCAAACAAAGACACGGTATCCTGGCGAGAAATTGTCTGGGCATTCCATAGCGGCAGTCAGGACATCTTAGTAGACCTTGCATCAAGACTATTTGGTGGAAAGATGACGTGGAAAGCGGCCAGAGAGAGTGGGATGTTCATGTGGCTGTCGAATCCTACTGCTGTGGTAAGATTCACCTCTGGGTAGTGATCGGATTGTGCTAACAGTGTCAGCGGGCGCAACTGGAAGTCGTTGCTCGGAACGAGTATACTAAATCGGAAGAGAAGAACCCCATCGACTGTTCGTTGTACTATATCGCCCTGAGGAAGAAAAACGTCCTTCAGGGTCTCTGGCGGATGGCGCATTGGCATCGTGAACAAGGTGCAACACAACGACTGCTTGCCAATAACTTCCAGGAAGAGCGGTGGAAAACGTCGGCATTGAAGAACGCATATGCTCTGCTTGGAAAGCGAAGATTTGGTGCGTATTATAGAACTGAATGTGGAACTTCAACTAACGCGGTATAGAATATGCTGCCGCCTTCTTCCTTCTTGCGGACCATTTGCGCGACGCTGCTTTTGTGTGTCTCAACCAGGTCGGCGATCTCCAGCTTGCCATCGCCATCACGCGTGCCTACGAGGGAGATGACGGTCCAGTGTTGAAGGAGATCCTGGAAGAAAGAGTGCTGCCTGAGGCTGCCACTGATGGAAACCGGTGGATGGCATCGTGGGCTTTCTGGATGTTGGGCCGCCGTGGAATGGCAGTCCGATCGCTGATTGTAAGTGTTGCAGTTGCTATGGGATACTGGAAACTAATATTATGTCTAGTCCCCGGTTGAGTCACTTATTCCCGAGACACCAGCGTCTCCAGGCAGCCCAGGGATGATACCCTTGCAAGCCAAATCGTATCTCTCCAACGACCCTGCATTGGTCGTCCTATACAAGCAACTCCGTGAAAAGACATTACAGACGCTGAAAGGAGCATCCAAAGTATCTGCACAGTCCGAGTGGAGTTTCGTCATCCGCAATGCTCGTCTGTACGACCGCATGGGATGCGATCTCCTGGCCCTAGATCTGGTACGCCACTGGGAGTTCCTGGGAGGACCCCCTTCACCACAACCAGCCAAGGAGGGGCCACTTGATTTGCATGATGGTGTAGACTATCGCAAGATGCTGCGCCGACGAAGCAGTCTGGTCGTTGCGGACCTGCCGATTCGCGAGAGCTTGCAACAGAGTATCCAAGCTGCGGCAGCACCGAAACCGAAACCGAAGCCGCCTCCAACGACATTCCAGGAGCCAGACGCCAACTCGTTGCTTGACAGCTTCGGATTCTAGTCTGGCTGTAGCTAGCTTTGAACGATTTATTGTATCATTATTGCGTACCAAGTGTTCGGTGTGCATACATTGACTGCTACTAGATATTTCCTGGCATCTCGTCAAGGTTTTAGCATGTATATCGTTCAATTCATTCTGTAATTGCTAATAACAATCACCCAAGCATGAGAGACATTTTATCATAAGACATGATCGCATCCGAAACAAACCCCATCAGTAAATCGAGAACCTCCCCCTCTTCCTCCGAGGCATCAACCTCCACGACTCCGTCTGATTCAGCGGAGCATGCACCAAAGAACTAGACGTGCTGTTGACTCCCGTGCTGTTACTCATCGCAGCATGCAACGAAGAAGAACCAGACAACGTGCTATTCCCTGCACCTGCAGTCCCATTCGCACCCGCTGCAGACGTAGCGCTAACCATACCCCCATGCGTAACACCTCCCACTTTATCCTCTTCCTTATTATCCTGCTGCTGCGCACCATCACCATCCCCACCTCCAACCTGATCGACACCATGAACATCAGCCCCAGAAGGAGAAGCAGAAGCATCCGCACACTCCAACAACACCCACACATTCCCATTCCCATTCCCAACTCCATCCCCTCCACTCCGAGAATCCCTCCCCCTCACAATCGGATACCTCATTCTTGTCCTCGGATAATGATGTCCAGCACACTCACTCCCCACCCACCGACCAAACTCCCCCGCATGGACACTTTGCGCCAGGAACGGCTCATCCACGCACCCGGGCTGTTCATGCATGGTCACGTTGCAGTGTTGGGGTATTCCCCCTCCTTCTTCGATATCCTTGTTGGTATCCTCTCCATTAGGAGCAGGAGATACAAACTGCTCGATCTGCGTGTCGAAGGATACATGCGTGGATGTTATGGGGATTGGGTGGCATGTTCCTTCGTGGAGTTGGAGGGGGATGTGTTGGTGGGCGCGGGGGGATAAGAGAACTGCTGGTGGTGGTGGTGGTGGGGAGGGAGGGCAGGTATTGTGGAAGACAGGGTGGATGTTGGCGATGGTGGAGGCGGCGGTTGCTGTTGATGATAGGGTTAGGAGGGTGATAGTGGTGAGGATTTTGGGGGTGAGGTGGTTGTGGTGGCGCATTGTTGGGGTTGGGTTCCTTGTTCGGTGTTGGTAAGGAAAGGTCAACTGCAATTTAATGGTGGTAATTTATAGAAGGGAAGTAATTAGATTGAAGCTGAATGATGATAATGATGATGATGATAGTACTCATCAGTAGATTCGAGCCATCTACATCCTTATATACTACTATCCTTCTCCTCTGGCAACTTCTACCAGCCGCTGATTTACACGTCTACACACGTCTACGCGCGAAGAATATAGTTGCTGAGAATGAGTATGCATGTAAATAGGAAAGAGTAATTGGCGTCGGGAGTGGCTAGCATTCAGCATTCCTGGGCGTGGGTGTGGATATGTCAATTGCCAGTTGTGGATGGCTGGATACTGTATCCGCATTCCTGAGAGGGTTTACCTGTGTGTGATTGGGGGTTTGGGGGTGATCTACGGATCTGCGCTGGATGTAGTCTAGTTCATTGGTAACAGGGAATTATTGTTTGTTGTTGTGCTACTATGGTTACATGCTTCGCTTAGAATTGAGTTGTATAGAAGGACTCCGTAGTCAGCGGTGGAAGATTATGCTCTACGTAAAATTATTGATGTATTCAGGCTTACTGTATACAAAGTTTCAGAGTTTAATCTGGTAGATTAACATTATTATTTTCTAGACTACATTGGTTATAACCCAGTAAGTCATGGCAACCTCCGCTTCAACCCGTACATGTCCAGCACATGGCTATCGCTCACACCTTGATCAGTCTACAGACCGAGACCAAGTCCGCCGAGGATGTTGCCGCCGCCATTGTCCTGGGTATCGTTGGGGTCGTTGGCGAGGTCTTCGGCAGGGTTGTGCGATTCCACCTTTTTCAGGTCATCCTTGTTACCGTCACCTCCATCACACAGTAGCCGGACGTAGACGTATTTGTCGAACGGGTCATCTGGGATGCACCCGCTCTCGGCATCCTCCTGTCCCGGGTAGAAAGGAACCACTGCGTTGGGCACGCCAATGCACTGGTCATTGGCATAGACACCCAGACCATGGCAACGCTCGGAGGTATCCTTGGTGACGTCTTGGAGGCTCACCGAGTAAGCATCGATTGACAGGCTGTGCGAGATCTTGGCCTTTTCGCAAGTATCTTCGGTGGCGTAGGTGGTTTCGGCATCTCCAATAAGCTTGTCATTGGGGGGAGCGCCAGGGTCGCAATCTTCGTGGGACTTCACTGTGACTTGTGCCACGCCGTAGCCGTAAACGGCTGGGGTCAGGCAGAGGGCCGAGGCGACGAGGAGCTGGACTAATTAACAGATGTTTTGAGTCTACGGATGAGTGATACTAACGCTGGAGAAATGCATGGCGAAGATCAAGCGATTTGGTAGATGCCAGAGGTTGCGGATGACGGGATGCAGAATGAGAACAATTGCTCCCAGAGGATCAAGCCATGATTTATATCACGGGCGAAGAAAGGATCCACGACTCCTGGAACTGTTACTTTCTGATTTTCCTTGATGTTCATTGTTTTGGAATGCAATGGGAGTTCGTGGGCGCGTCGGAATGGATCGTCCACAACACAAAGGGTAGGTTCAGTCTGCCTGGGGCCCCGGCGGACTAAACGGTGCGGAGAAAGCTTCCATACATGGCCTTCTAGCCTTGGTTTTTTGTGGAACATAAAATGCCTACATAGCCTGGATCGTAGCTTGCGCTGCCCAGGAGGTCTGGGAAGGGATGGCAAGGACTGTACGGCACGCAGGGGTGGATGCCGATTCTCCTACCATCCCCATATCTGTCAACCCTGTCGGTGTCTTGGCCACGTCAGAATCAACTTACCTCAGATCCGGAGATACTAGGAGGAAGAGATGCTCAGAAGGGCTCAAGATAGACATAATCATACTTTGCCCTAAGTCAAATACTCGTCATCGCGACCAGGAGTCTTCAACCCTCCCTAGCTGCAACCCGTCACCTTAATGCCGTAAAAGCCACACTGATACAGGAGACATCACATATTTTGATGCAGGTAAACGCGAAGTAGGGATGGTAGTATCGGCGGCGCATGGCTGGCGGCCTGACACAGCGCGGGGTTGCGACGCGACTGTAGGACCGGACATCGCCTACTGTGTAGTTGCACCAACGCCACAGACGCTAGTTTCTCGGTGGTCGGAAGGAAAGCAAGCTGTAGTAAGCTATGACCTGATCGACTCGGTCTGATCGCTGATCGAAATTCCAAGTAGCCCATACACAGCTGTGACTGGAGTGACAGTCCCGGCTCTTCCGAGAATCCGTCAGAATTAAGACCAAGGCCTCGAGGCTCTCCAGCAGATTGCCAAGGGAGTAGCTTCCTTCGTCGCTGCTTAACAGACTTGGCTTTTGACAGCAATACCCTTCTCAGGCAGCATCTCCGGATCCATGACACAAAGGGCTTGTATGTGTGATGCGTCGAGTTATCGCCTCTGTCAGCCAGATTCACCCCGTTGTGAGGCTTAATTGCAATGGTCCGAGCTAGCTGAATCGTGCTGCCTATTGGAGCTCACACATAAACGTTCCGAGCTGCGTGGTGGGGGTAAGACGGCAGAGTCAAAGGCCCCATTGGCCGTGTCGACTAGCATGTAGGAGTGATAGTCCGACCGGGATGCTGCATGCTGCGGTCTCACTGTAGTATAAAGGGCAGATAGCTGTCATCTCCAACTTGAAAATGTCGACACACTCAAATCATTCCGACTATCCTCGTTTCGCTTCTATCGTCACCCATCATGACCGTCTCAACTGAATCTACAACCGACGTGCAAGTCTTCCCGTCCGTCCCTCGGGCGCTACTGCTGACCCAGACACAGCCTCATCATCGGTGCGGGTCCATCGGGTCTAGCTGTTGCTTACTGGATGGCGCAGTATGGCATTAACGCTCGCATCATCGACAAGCGTAGCACGAAAATATTCCGAGGCCACGCAGATGGCCTGAGGGGCCGAACGCTCGAACTACTTGACAGTATGGGGATTACCCAAAGGATCCTGCAAGAAGGATACCACGCAGCAGGTCTGAAGTATTGGGTAAGAGGCACAGTTATCCTCGGTGGGAGCGGTCACTAATCATGGATACTAGAGACCGGACGGAAAAGGGGGTTTGAAGCGCGCTGGACAACTGCGAAGCACAATCTGGAAATCCTCGCCGCATCGCATGGCCTTATTGTCCCAGGGCCGCATCGAACGGTTTTTCCTTGATGTTATCCGGGATTCGTCCAGTATCGACGTTGAAAGAGGCGTTATGGGAGAGTCACTGACCTATGATGAGACCCTTGAGAATGATCCCCAGGCATACCCCATCACGATCAAGCTGAGGACTCTAAGTGAGGAAGAAGCAACCCCAACCCCTAACCCGGGTACTACACCCTACCGCCCAGCCCGGGATGACCTGGAGGACCTGGCCCCAAAACGCAAGCACAATGTTGGGACAATCGAGACGGTTCGGGCCAAGTATCTCATTGGCTGTGATGGGGCGCACAGCTGGACGAGGAAGCAGTTGAACATCCCCTTCGAGGGATCCCACACAGATCATATATGGTAACCTACTACACCATTTCTTGATCGACTGTAGCTGACATGCATGCCTTAGGGGAGTTATGGATGTGGTCCCAATCACGGATTTCCGTAAGTTCAACACCTGGTATGGAACAAAAGACCTCTAACGTCGAACCACAGCGGACATCCGCTGGCCGTCTTCGATTGACAGTCCGCACGGGCATCTGCTTGTTATCACGAGAGAAAACAATGTGGTGCGCTTCTATGTCCCTTTGCAAGAGGAAGACGAGATAACGCCTTCTTTCGATCGGTCGGCGGTGACTCTGGACATGCTCCGCGAAAGAGTGAAGAGCATCATGTCTCCCTTCTCTTTCGACTTCAAGATCTGCCACTGGTGGGCCGCCTATCAGGTACACTCTGACTCTCACTTTCCCAATCGATCCCTTGGTGATGGCTGGTTAATAAACTCTAGGTCGGTCGGAGACTCGCACCCGCCGTCAACAAAGGACGTATGTATCTTGTCGGGGATGCCGTCCATACTCACAGCCCTAAAATTGGGTTGGGAATGAACATGAGCATTCAAGACGGCTTCAACCTCGGTTGGAAACTGGCGCTGGTCGTGAACGAGATGGCGCCTCCTTCAATCCTCGGTACCTACAAGTCAGAGCGTCATCAGCTCGCCAAGATGCTCCTTGAGTTCGACCAGAAATGGGCTGCGTTCTTCCTGAAGCAGAAGAAAAAGCAGGATCAGCTTGAACTTGAGGGTCTTCCGGAAGCTAACCCAGAAGACATCCAGGCCATGCAAGATGTTTTTCGCGAAAATGAGATGTTCGCCGAGGGCCATGTATCGTTCTACAAGGCGAGCCTCATAGTAGACAAGGACAGTACACCAGTGGCCAAGCACCTGACAGCAGGAGAAAGGTTTCCCCAGGCACTTATTTGCAAGCAAGCAGATGGTCAGCCATGGTGGACTTCACGTCTCCTAAACAGCGATGGCCGTTTTCGGGTTCTGCTTCTGGTCGGAGACTGCCGGCTGGAAGACCAGAAGAGTCGTATATTGGCTCTCAATGAGGGTTTGTCGGCGCTTCAGAAACGCTTCACGCCCCCCAAGCAAAAGCTCGACTCTGTCATCGAGGTCAAGGCAATCCACAGTGCTCCGCTGGATGATGTTGAACTGAGCGACTTCCCCCCAGTTCTGCACCAGTTCGATGAGACCACTGGCTGGGACTATACCAAGGTCTGGAGTGACAGTGAGTGCTTCTGGGATGAACAGTGCAAAGGCAACGCATATGAAATCTGGGGGGTGGACAGATCAAGGGGTGCCATGGTGGCTTTACGGCCCGATCAGTACATTGGATGGATTGGAGAGCTCGACGACGTGGCCGGCGTGACCAAATACTTTGAAGGGTTCCTTCGCGAGCCTCGGCCGGAAGCGGTGCTGTAGCCTTCAGAATTAATGTGGAGTAATCTAGATAGATTGTCTACTTATTTTACTAGTAGAAGTTAGCCGAAGTCCTGCAGTTACATAGTTAAGTATGTAGGGTGATCTAGATATTAGGTAGATAACTTGCCTTTTGCCTTATCACCTGTCAAAGTAATGGAATGTGGATTAATGTGGGAAATGTCGGCTGAGATCCGAGCGCATGTTTCTGAGCTGCTCTTATCGCTTGGAGTTGCAGTGGGTCGCTGTCAATGGCAAGGCGCGCAGTTTGTACTCAACGGCGGGACCGACATATAACTTGGCTGGCCTACCCTCTTTTATTTTCAGTCCCCGGCGAAATCTGCAAATCATCATGGCACCTCCCTCGTCGCCTACGGACCACCACATCGTGGCCCTGCAGGGCGATTTTATCAGAATCCCCAAGTTCGAATTGCCCGCTCCTTATACTCACACCACAACAATCTACGGACAGACATCGCTCTCCGAACTCCACGAACGGATACACGATGCCTCTATCTTAGTTCTATCGGCGCTGCGAATTGATGCAGAGGCGCTATCTCCCGAGGTGACCCCGTATCTGAAATTGATCGTGATAGTTGCTGCAGGCAGCGACTGCGTGGATCTCGAAGCGTGCAGAAAGAGGGGCATTACTGTGAGCAACTGTCCTGCAGCAAACACCGAAGCTGTCTCCGAGCATGCAATTGGACTTTACTTTTCTGTACGCCGCAGAGTGATGCGCGCGCACACATTGACCCGCGCGGGCGAATGGACCCGGAAAAAGACCCTCGTCTTCGATTGTGTAAATCACGATGGAACGCAACCCCTGACCTGCCAGGAGGAGGTGGCCGGAATTATCGGAAATGGCGCTGTCGGTACGTGCTTCGGGCGATCCATGGGTTGTTCTTCGCTTGGATTTACATTGGCTGACTCAAATTCAGGAAAGCGGATCGCCCAATTAGCCCGTGGGCTGGGAATGAAGGTTATTATCGCAGGGCGCAAAGCACTTGCTGATGCGAGCACACCGAACCACGCAGACGACAATGTGGAGAGGGTTTCTTTCGACGAGGTGATTAGGCAGAGCACGGTGATTTTCATTGCAGTTCCCCTTACTCCTTCGACGCGGAATCTGCTATCGACGGCTGAATTTGAAGCCATGTCGCCCCATGCGGTTTTGGTCAATGTCTCGAGGGGAGGAGTGATGGATGAAGTGGCACTTGTCCGAGCATTGCAGGAGAACCGCATCACCGGTGCTGCAACCGATGTGTTTGAGAAGGAACCTGCTGGGCTGGAGAACAGTGCTCTGCTGGCTGAAGGCACTGAGGATCTGAACCTGGTTCTGACACCTCATATTGCATGGGCCACACAGAAGACGTTGATCAACTATGAGCAGAAATTGAAGGAGACGGTGGAGAGGTGGATGGTGGGGGAATTCATGAACGTAGTGACATGATTTAGAATATTTCGTTTGTATAAACAATTAGATACCATGAAAGAGCATTTCCATTTATTATATTGAAAGACATCAAGCATAGCTCGAAAGGAGTGTATGATGATGATGATGATGCTCTCTTTCTCTTTGTTTGGTTGCTTCTTATCGCAGGCTGAGTCAGCCTGTTATCGGGCCTGCAAATGATGGCGAATCCTCAACTAATCATCGGATGAGCTGCGATGCTTCTCCATCGCGCTATCGATCGCTCCATCAATCGATTCCCCAGCCATCCTCGCGGCTTACTCTTATCTCCCCGCTTTCCGCTCCGTCCCTTGCGTGATGGCTCGTTGATCCGACTTTTCCTTCTTCAGTGACAGGAGAGCCCTCCTCTCGTGCTGGCTCGACTAACCTGAACCGCGACGGCATCCGATGAACTACCAATCCATCACCATGGCAGGCAATGCCTCCAACAGCGACCGTCAAGAGGATGGGGCAGTCCGAGATGGCTCCCCGCTAACGTCCTCCGTCGACTTTGGTGACCGGACAGCCTTCGCCGATGATTCTCGCTCCTCCGCAACCTCCCCGCAAAGCTTCACCACGCGATCCCTGCTCGTCGGCCTTCTTATCGGCGCTCTCATTACCTTCTCCAACACATACTTTGGACTGCAGACAGGATGGATCAGCACCATGGCCATGCCATCTGCCCTAATCGGCTTCTCCGTCTTCAAGGTCTTCTCCAAATATCTGTCGTATCCATTCACACCCATCGAGAACGTCCTCATACAAACAGTAGCAGGGGCGGTGGGAACCATGCCGCTGGGCTGTGGGTTCGTCGGGGTCATCCCGGCATTGGAATTTCTGATCAAAGATGGCGAAGATGGCCCGTCGGGAGATGGTGGTACCGGCGAAGGCGGACCTCTGAAGCTGAACTTTTGGAAGCTCGTCCTCTGGAGCTTGGGGGTCTGCCTATTCGGCGTGGTTTTCGCCGTCCCATTGAGGAAGGAGGTGATCGTTCGGGAAAAGTTGAAGTTCCCGAGTGGGACAGCCTCAGCCTTGATGCTGAGGGTGCTGCACGGAAGTGGCCAGGGCGACGAGAAGTCGAAGAAGCGGGTGACTGATGTTGAGGGTGTCATACGGCGTGAGGAAAGATCCTACGCATCGACTTTGGCGCATGAACCCGAGGAAACCGGCGTTCTGCTGGGCAACGCCAGCTCTGGTGATGATAGCAATGTCCAAGAGGATTGGAGGTCCAAGATGCGTCTCCTGGTGGGCGCCTTCGCGCTGTCCGGGATTTATGTAAGGCTCATTGCCTGGGAACATTGGATCTACAACTGACAATAGGCCAGACCCTTTTCTCCTATTTCGTCCCCCAAGTCCGCGATATTCCTATTCTGGGACTTTATCTGGCTAAGAATTGGCTCTGGACCCTGAATCCGTCGCCCGCATATGTTGGCCAGGGCATTATCATGGGCCCCTCGACCTGTATGCATATGCTCTTCGGTGCATTCTTGGGTTGGGGTGTTCTTTCGCCACTTGCAAAGGCTCGCGGATGGGCCCCGGGGCCTGTGGACAGTTGGGAAGATGGAAGTAAGGCTTGGATCGTCTGGATCTCACTGGCCATTATGCTTGCCGACTCTCTTGTCAGTCTTGGCTGGCTGGTTGTGAGGCCTCTAATACCCCGTGCTTCGAATATGAAAGACAAGCTCCTCCACAGCCGCTCTGGACGGAGGGTTCTATCTGGAGGCTCGACAACCTCCAATCATCACTCGTACATATCCTATTCCGCTCTGAGTCCCATCACTGAGGTGTCTTCTGTGCCGAGCCATACTGTCCCTTCTATCGGGAGACACAGCGCCGTTGATGATGCGGATGAAGATGCGCCTCCATCCCAGCTTATATCCAACCGAACAGTCATCATACTCCTCCCTCTAACTTTGATTCTCAACGTCGTCTGCATGCACTTCGTATTTGGCGACATAATGTCTCCACTGCTTTCCAGCCTTGCCACCCTGCTGGCAGTCCTCCTTTCCATCATGGGCGTCCGCGCCCTTGGGGAAACAGACTTGAACCCCGTCTCCGGAATCAGCAAACTAACCCAGTTGCTCTTCTCCCTGGCTACACCCGCCTCTCACTTTTCCCGCCGTACCGCCTTAGTCACCAACCTCCTCGCCGGTGCCGTATCCGAGTCCGGTGCCCTTCAAGCCGGAGACATGATGCAGGATCTCAAAACCGGACATCTTCTTGGTGCCAGCCCCAAGGCCCAATTCTACGGCCAAATGATCGGCAGCCTCGTCGGCGCCGTGCTCTCCACCGCCGTCTACAAAATGTACGTGAACGTATACGAAGTCCCCGGTCCGATGTTCCAAACTCCCACCGCATACGTCTGGATCTTCACGGCCCGCCTAGTCACCGGCCAAGGCCTCCCTCCGATGGCATGGCAAGCATCTCTTGTCGCCGGAATCATTTTCGTAGCCATCACCATCCTCCGCATTGTCGCCTCATCGCCGATCGCCAACGGCGGTCGCAGAGATGTCTCCGCCCCCTGGAAGGATTTTATTCCCGGCGGCATTGCCGTAGCGGTGGGAATTTTCAACGTTCCGTCCTTCACTTTAGCCCGTGCCATCGGCGGGTTAATTGCCTGGTGGTGGGCCCGGCGACATTCGAACAAAGTCGCCGCCGGCGGGCCGGACCCGAGCACCGACGACATCCAAACAAACTTGTCCGACCCATGGACGGCCGAAGGGCGTGCGGGATCCTCAATTGGGCTTCATAACCAGCAGCAAGCAGCTGCTAAAGAGGCGGATTCCGCCTCTTCATCCGTTGTTGTCCTTGCGTCGGGATTGATCCTTGGCGAGGGCATTATTAGTATTGTGAATTTGCTTCTAGCAAGTGGCGGAGTTCCGCATCTTTGATAGCGGAAAGACAGAGCAGATTTGGTAGGCATATAGAGTAGTCATTGTTCGTTCCTGGACTGATTTGTATCTATTGTATTCAGTTCTATCAGCGAGGATATGGTGAATGTTTGAATTAGCATCTGGATATATAGATTAACAAAAACGGACTGATGTTGATGACTCCGAACGGAACGAAATGGGAATGTCAATATCAAGCGAGCTACGTTTCCCTTACTGCCTGGCCGTTAATGCCAGTTGTCTGATCCATAAACTACGAAAGAAGCGTATTCCGTGATTTAAATACTGTATTTATTCTTGATTGGTAATATAAGTACTATGTAGCAATAAATTCTCCATCCTGAGCACATCATTAATCCCAAGACATTGAAGTGCCCAAAAAAGTAAATAGCTCAGTTTTCTGTCGACCTCATGCCTTTCTTCATCTATCATTTGTCCATAAGTGTCCCGCAGAAGGAAGTTAAGAGAGAGATCAGGTTCAGAGACAGTTAATTTGCATTTTCGTTTGTGCATAGTGAAAAGAAAGGAAAGCAGGAGGTATCAAGGCCAATGAAAAAGGGTAACAAGTGGTATAAGAGTCATTCACATGAAGTAGAAGTAAAGATAGAAGAAGAAAAAGAAGTATCCAGACACATAGTTTCGTATGCTTCGGTTATGAAACCAGCATGAGAAAAGAAAAGAACAATGAGGGAACGCGTGACCGGAAGCGTTGGATGTTCATGAAACTTGGAACGCAATCCAGTAAGGAAGCGTTCGTCGCAGACGCATACAGTGTTTATCGTGGCAGGTTCGTCCGCCCAGCGGCGTTCAGTTGACACTCGTGGCATATGATGGTATCAAGTGCTCGGCATTGAGACGACCCGTCACTCATGGCTATGTTCAGGAGCGACTGTCTTAATGGTGGCCGAAGCTGGTGCAGCGTTGACTGATGGATGCAGGGATGCTAGATGCATGGAAGTTGGACCGAGCGGGGTTCCGAGAGGACTCGGTCCGGATAGTCCTGTCATTCGAGCGTTCGGTCCAACCACACCTCCTGTGCTGTTGCTACGCATCCGTTGGTTGACTGGCATCCGGGGACCTTGCATTCCCGGGGGTCCGTAGGGCCCAGGGCTCAGAGACCTAGGAACCATCGGACCGGGACCGGGAGAGAAAGATCTTGGAGGTTGTGGGAACTGCGCCGGAGACATAGGACGCTGAGTATACGGCTGGGGCTGCGGAGGACCGGCGTAACCAGGGTGAGCGGGAGGCATTGGGCGGGCCGGCGACATCGGACGAGCCGGCGACATTGGACGGGCCGGTGAAATGGGGCGGGCCGGTGACATGGGGCGGGCCGGTGACATTGGGCGAGCCGGTGACATTGGACGACCTTCTTGAGGATAAAAGCGTGGCATCGGCATCATGTTTCCAGCCGGCATGGGGCTATTAGGGCCTCGGGGTCCAGGGGCAGCACCCGGGGGCGGGCCCATCCGGGGCATCAAAGGACGCGAGGAAAGACATGAGCGAGGGACAACACCTTGTTGAGAGCGGTCCATACGAATACAAAGAGCCCATCCATCGTCGTACTCGTGCAGGAGTCTGACGAGATCCCCAGCATGTAGCTCCAGCTCATCGGCCATTGAAGGGGCGAAATCCAAGTGCACGCGATGCACATTGGATGGGGCAGGAGCAGGAGCAGGAGCGGGAGCGGGAACTGGAACTGGAACTGGAACCGGAACTGGAACTGGTCCAGCCGCTTCAGATGAATGAACAGGAGAGACCGCAGGAGCAGCTGAAGCCGGGGCCGCATTGGCATTAGAAGGACCATCTGGGCCAGTATTGGTGGAATTGGATTCAGATGAGACGCTGGATATAGAACTTTCAGGACGAATGGGCAACTCCTTATCTGACGCGCTGGAGGCTGCAACCGCGGCCACAGCAGCACCAGCTACAACACCAGTCACAGCGATTCCGGTTGCCGTGGCTGCTTCTGCAGCGGGATCAGCAGCCGCAGATTCTTCTGGGACGGAGCCAAGCTGTGTAACGGAGCCGTGGGACGTAGAAGGTGGAGAGACCTCGGAAGGGTGATTGAATGGATTGATTGGATCATTGAAGGGGTTTGCACTGGCGGTACTTGATTGTGGTGTGTGAACCGGCGAGGTATTTCCAGTCAGGTTGCGTGTGCCAGCTGCACCTGAAGCAACGACTGCTCCGGAGGCGACGGCAGCGTCGGCAGCAACCGTAGAGGGGCCCGCAGAGCCAGCACCAGCACTGAATTCTGATGCGAATGGCGCAAACTGTGTGACTGGACGGACTTGGAGTTGAGGTGGATCCAGGGAACTCTTCGGCTCGGGCTTCGGAGGAGGTGGTGGTGGCGCGACAGGATCTGAACCCCAGAACTTCTCATCTTCGGCTACTCCCTTTTGGATTTTCTGTTCCTGTTTCTTCTTTCGGACCCAGAGAAGGACGAGACCTGCAACCACGCCAACCGCCAATATCACACCGATAGCAATGCCGGCTTTCGCACCTCCAGAGAGCCCTCCTGATCCCGAAACTGCAGTTGCGGATGCTGACGCAGAGGAACCAGTGACATCGGAACTTTCCAGTCCCGCCTTGCCTTGGGAGGATACGGAAGATGAGTCCGAAGACGTAGCAGACGAAGTACTGGTCTGAAAGGTAGTCCTATTTGCCGATGTAGTCTCATCTTGGCTCGTGCTTTGCGTCTCTTTGGTCGCCTCGGTGGTTGTTGGCTGGGGTGCCGTTGTGATTCCGGTCTCAGCAGTCTTCGTGGCGGTAGCATGAGTCTCAGCCTTTGTCTGTGTTGCTGCTGCCTCAGTCGTCTCGGCCGTCTCGGTCTCTTTTGCTGTCGAGGACGATTTCGATGCTTTAACAGGAGCGCCGATACCAACAGCTGTGTTCTTGCTGCTTTCTGAGGAAGTCTTGCTTCCCGTGACATAGCCTCCAACAGGTCCATCAAAATCCGCACTCATAGTCACATAGACCACTGTCACCGCATCATTATCCGGGCTTCGGCCCTTCAAATGGGGCACACGGTCACGGTGCGCATGCGCATGCACCATGGTTGAGGTATTTCAGGGCTTGTGCGCCTTGTAACTATTCTGCAATTAACTGGGCCTCTAGTGGTAAGCTAGAGTAGAGTCAAATGTGACGGGAATGTATTGGTGCCCCGCGTACTTGTACCGTATCTACACAGCAAATGCAGAAGATAGGCAGATATATGTGAACGCAGGCTCAATGATAAAGAGTGTCTGTGAGTAGTTTCACTGGCATCAAAGAACGGATACCAGTTGATATGATATGTGACACAGATCGCTTTACTTTGTTGTCTCTGACACCACCGACAAGATAAGCTAGTCGCGTAGTGGCGTATAAGGGGCGCAAGCGCGTTTAAAAAGAATGTGGGAGGGAAAAGAATGGAAGTCTAAAATCCCCAGATATAGTTCAAAAAGGGCTGGGTCACATCCGATCTAGATCGGTTGAAACGAAGGACAGCGAGCTTCCAGGCCGCGAAGGTCAAAAGGAAGGACGAGAGGCACGAAAGGAGGGAGAGTAAAAGGATGGATGGGAAGGTGAGCACGCCCAAGCGTGGGCTCGCGAGAAGTGAAGGTGGTAAACCAACTAAAAAGAGAGTGAAGGGGACCCAAAGACGAGAGTAAGTACTGGGAAAGAGAGCATCGCTCCCAAATACGGGTAAATTACCATCTTACGGGAACCACAGTTAAACGAAATGAGGTCAAAGCATAAAAGAGGGGCTCTCCGCCAATTAGAACTGCGTATCAGCCTGTATGCCCTAGTCTGCGCTAACATGCTGAGGCGGGGATCACGGGGTTTGTCCCGCTCAACCCTTAGGTACTTCATCCCGCTGATTCGTCCTATTTTGATACGGTTCCTGGTTTTCTGACCGTCACAAAAGGAATCACGAGGTTGCCGAACCTCCCGCTCTTTCCCCCCCAAACTCTCTCCTGCACAACTGCATCACAGGCAATGTGAATACTGGCTACAAATGGATGCTAGTGTGGGCCGAACCCCTCGATCATCATTTCTTCTCCCCCCGGCTCCCGAACCAGTACATTGTTGAAGGCGTTCACACAGGGGATACACCAGATGTCCTTATGCACGCTCACTGAGATGAAATGCTACCTGCTCAGTCTTTCTCTTGACATGGGTTTGAGTGTGGTCACTCTGAGCTCATTAGGTACCTCCCTTCTGAGCAACTAGACTACTAACAACCCAACGATATCATTCCATGACTAACCTCATTAGCGGAAATGCAAAGTTTTCAAAGCTGAATGGATTTTGATCCAGCGCCGTTGCATTAAACGAGATCTTCACTTTCTCATTCATTGGGTGGTCCCTGAGCCACCGCTCATTAATTAGCCAAGCCCCTTCTTGAACTCCGGTCCTTCCTAGCGTTACCCACATCCACCCTGACCACGGCTTCTCCTGGCAAATGACAATCATCCAATGGCTGCGATAGTGGGGTGGTACGTTACTTTGTAGGTAGGTTCCCTCCGAGTGTCCGACCCTTGTGCATGGCCGACAAATGGAATTGCCTTCCGCTGTTGAACATCGCACCGGCATTGGCTTCGATAGTAGCCGTGGTGCAGCACCACGTTCGTGCAGCCTCGCGAGTCTAGCCTAAACAAAGCATGCTGCCCTTGCATGCGTCAAATACCTGGGATCAGATCATAATTCCGATACACTACTCATACTTGGTCTCAAGTCTCAACTCTGTTTCCTCTTCCATATTCCTTCCTTCCTTTTTTTTAGGTCTACACTGTAATCTGATTACACCCCAAGCCAGCAGAACAATCGTGCCCCGTCAGTCTTTGTTTGGAATGATCCCAAAATTTAACCGGCGCTCCTCCGTTCGGTTCCGGCCTAATAATCCGCGCTAGCCAGCTGTCTGTATATCAGCCCACACTAATAATAATACTCCCGCCTTCAGAAATCTCCGGACTCCCTCGCCTTACTGCCGAGGCTAATGCCTGACAGGCGTTAGCAGCTCCTTGCTACAATGTCTGCAGCACTTCGGTCTTTCGGGGTGCTGAAACGCCTAGCGAGTTCTATAGTGGGCACACCAATGGGGCAGCCTGCGAACGCTCAAGAGAAGCCCATAAAGCCATGTAGATCGCATTTTGCTGTGGTGTCGTCATGTGAAGGATCGCCGCAGTGGCCGTCTCTTCAATAAGGGGTTCGAAGAAAGATATTGAAGATTTAGGAACTCGAGAAATAAGGGTGTTTCAAGGCCTGTTTCCGTTGTAAGAGATGGTTCGTCAAATCCGTCGGTTTGTCTTTTCGTCTTCACATACCTCTTCTGCGGACAACCGCTGACCGCTCTCATAGCGCACCAGTTCGCTGACAAGGCTACGGGCTTTGGTAGAAGCCCCTCTGAGGATTTCGTCCCATTGTTTAGCAGGGTACTTGTAGAATTCTACCTTCCCCCAGTCTGGTAGACTCTGCGTCTCCTATGATTGACTTCGATCAGCATGATATCCTGATGTCATCTCGACAGGAAAGGGGTAATTCGATTGCATACAGGCCATGTCTTTTCATCCGGTGTCCCCAGGGTCGTGAATATTGACTGGATGAGTGAGAGGTCGCTTCCCACCGGTCCCGAGTCGAATAATTGCGTATGCCCAACAGCCACCGCTTCGGCAACAACACAACCGGCCGCCCAAATATCAAGAGCAGTCCCATATGCCTTGAAGCCGAATAGAATCTCAGGGGGGCGGTAACAGGTAGTTCCAACATCTGTGATTTTTTGATCCGCAGGCTCAGATCCCTTGCTTCCTTCTTTCCATGTAATCCCAAAGTCTGCGAGATATGCCGGTCCTTCAGGAGAATCAAGCAGAATATTGGAAGGCTTGATATCTCGGTGTATAATTCCCAGCTTGTGGATATGTGCTAATGCGCTGAACATATCCCGCAGATGAGACTTGGTCTGCGCCGCAGTCAACGCATCTCGCCGAAGTAGTTGCTCCAGATCATATCTCATGAAAGGAAACACGAGGATTAGTCGCCCCTCGTCTAGGCTGAAAGTGTCCAGCAAAGGCACTACGCGAGGACTAGCCGCATCACGAAGAAGTTGAACCTCACGTTTAGCATCATGTGGTGGGGTTAACATGTGAGGTATAGTGACCTTGACTGCCACTAAGCTACCGTCGGTATTCTTGGACTTGTAGATCATGGAATGAAGGCCATCGAAGTGATGGAGACATGATTGGTATGGGCCGATGGTTTGGCCCCCTTCCCAGTGGTCTTCGTCGGTGTCGTTCTGAGGTTGATCTGGGCTGCTGATGATGGGAGCAACCGATCCCGAAGACTCTGCTTTGTCAATTGCATCTTGACATAGCCTGTCATATTCCTCCTTTGATGCAGCTTGATCGTAAGCTTCGGTCTCAAAGCGCTTCGCTTGAGACTGAGCTTCAGCGAACGCAGCAGAGGAAGAAGCTCGCTGGTAAGCGGTAGTACTGAAAGGTATCAGAAGCAGCTCCTTCATATCCACATAAGAGAGCGCAATGCAGGGAGAGATCACCGGTGATAGTAGACTTACAGCGATTGAATGGCAGACAATCGATCTGTGAAGCCAAGGGTCTTTTTCCAATCGGGAGTGGCCATGATAGATAGAGATATATAGTTATATAGAGAGAGAGAGAGAGAGAGATGAGAGGTAACAGATGATAGATGATATATTCAATCTATCCACTAGTTCTACTAGTAAGTAGTATAGTAGATAACTATTTAAAGATACCCCGTTATTATATTATTGTTATCATAATAACTCAAAAAAAGGCGGGCAGACGGACATGTGACACTCCCGTGGCGCCTTACCGAGAGCGGCATGGGCCGATTCGGCACCTCCGCCCCAGTTGTTCCGGCGTTGCAACCCATCATCGTCATCAGCCATCAGCCATCGGCCATCACATCCTCTTCCCTCCGACTCCAGCTGTCCTCCGTTGCTTGTTGAACCTTCCCCCGGTTCCGCGTGGTGCTTCGTCCAATCGCCTCCCCCATTCGATGCTCATCCCTTCCAAGTCTCATTCCTCCTTATTATGCGCCCCCGACCCTCGTTCTGCTAAGGTTGTGACCTATGTGTAGTGATGGAACTCTCACGGCAGGAGTATCCAGCGTTGCTGGTACGATCCCCTCGACCCCAGATAACCCCACCTATCTTTTTTTCTCCCTGTCCTCCCAACTTCCACTTCCTACCATGTCCAGACACATCTAACCCGGTATTTGCTCGTCAATATTGCAGGCCTCTTTGCAGCCCGGCCAAGCTACAAGTGTACTCAATGATCGCATTCGCATCATAAACAAAGTCAATGCGGACATCGCGGACTGGCTCCAGGTAAGCTGTTCGCTCTTATACTTGAAGATATATGTAGAATACACTTCCTGTGGCTTACACCTATCTTCGATCCATAGGAACGTCGTCGCATTGAAGAATTGTATGCCCAAGGGCTGCGGAAACTTGCGCATCGGCCACAGTTGGACAATGGCGCAGCGCTCGGGTACGACCGGCTTTTCAAGTTATTCTTTGGGTTTGCAATTCTTGTACTAACTGCAGTTTCATGAATAGTGTCTTCCAGATACCGTGGCAGCGCATTATCACTGCCACCGAATCGATTGCCTCTTCGCACGAAACTTTCGCCCACAAAATCGAGGAGGACGTAGAACGTCCGCTGCGAGAGTATAACACCAAAAATCGGGAATTGTCTTCCATGACTGGTATCCAGAGCGACCTTGCGGGACTGGCCAAGAACTACGAAGCATCCCAGAAGAAAGTAGAAAAGGCCAGGGAGAAGGGCCCGAAGGGTGCCGATAAGCTGGCTAGCGCCGTCGCCGCCGCAGAAGAAATTAGCCAGCAATGGGATTCCAGAGCGCCATTTGTCTTCGAACAGCTTCAGGCAGCAGATGAGGGCCGTCTCAATCACCTGCGAGATGCTCTCACTCAATTGGAGACCCATGAGACGGATCAGGTTGAGCGCTGCCGTCAGGCTGCTGAAAGCTGTCTGAACGTTCTTCTGAACGTAGAGACTGCAGATGAGATCAAGACATTTGCTGCGAAAATTAATGGAGGAAGACCCGTCGTTCCGAGGAGACAACAAACTACCTCGCCTCCCCCAGTAGCACCTCTGTCGCCTCCACCACGCCTGCAGGATGATGCTGCTAGTCAGCGATCGGAACATTCGGGTCCAGTTAGGACACCTCCAGGTGAGCATATCTTGCATCTTCGACTGCTCTAGCCCCGTATTCTGGTGCCATTCGCTCGATGTGGAGTTCTGACGCCCTTCTCGTAGCACCCGAGCCCCGGCACAATACACCCCTGGGTGGCCTCAAAAGGCTGGGAACCGTCATGAACCGACGGAGGAGCATTGTTCAGCCTTCTAGCGCTGGTCCCTTCTTCTCCGATAAAAAACACCGCAGTCCGTTTGCCTCCTTTAAGAGGGGTGATTCGCGCGAGTTGCAGATTCCGGAGACCCCAACCGAAGGAATGGAGCGCCCCAGCACTGCCATGACTACTCAGGATACTGAGCCTCCAGCTATCTCGAGTGAACCTCATGAGCATGAGGGATTTGCTAGCGCGACATCCACTGCAGTGCCCCAGTCAGCACCGGCTACCGCCAACGGAGCAACATCTCACGAAGCTCCTTCTGAAGAAATTACTGCCGCTGCTGGCGTGTCACGCAATGAGGTAAGTGGGAAAGATTACTTGTCACTGATTCCCGAAGCTAATCTACCGACCAGCCACGAGTCGACTCAGAAGGTTTCACGGAGCGTCCGGAGACCATTGACGAGATTACCAGGGCCCAAAGAGAGGCGGCCGGGTAAGCAGTTTTGTCACTTTGAGAATGTATTGTTTTGGCTAATAATCTCCTCAGATTGGAGGAGCCCGGGATGAATTTGACAATACGAGACCAGCCAATCTTTGAGGACGAGGATCAAGCCAAGCAAGCGATGGACGATATGGCTAATCAGCTCAGAATGGTGGGTTTTATGTGTAGAACGTTTTGCTACCGCATGTTGCTAATATTACCATGCAGCGAGCTCAGCAGAGTGGTGTCCGACGAAATGCTGGAACCTTACGTGGCCGTCGCGATGTCCGTAACACTGTCTTTATTCCTACACCTCCACCAGGAAATGACCTCCCTGCCATACCATCAACCTTGGATACGTCCGCTCCAACCTCTCCATCTTTGCAAGCGAGGCATGTTGCCTCGCCTAGCACGGCTACAGACGACCATGCCATGTCCGACACGACCTCGATTCGCTCTTCTCATACTCTACATAGTGCTCCGGGTCCTGTCTCGCACCCCGACCTTCACGAGCCAGGTCTGAACGCATCCATCATAGACACAGTCAGTGCATGGTTTACTGAGGGTGCGATATCCAAATCGTTTGTCGTTGGAGAACTTGCGTTGGCATACAATGCTACACCGGATGTGACTCCGGGCAGCACACGGGTTCGCCTTGACAATTTCCAGATTCTTGAGAAGGTGGCTGCAAACCCGCACTTCGTGACGGAAGACAAAGGCAAGGATCAATTTGAAGAAAAGAGGGGTGAATATGAGGTGAACCTGGCTAGCATTGCTCGGTCCTCGCCGACGGTAGCTTTCAAGTACCAAATTCACATGGAACCCTCCGTTGCCGCAGCCTATTGCCCTGTCATTTTCAAACCAGTGTGGAATCTCGAAGAGCACCAAGCCAGTGCGATCATCTACTATTCTCTCAACTCCTCGTTCACGTCTGCGCCAGGAGGCTCAATTACCCTCAGGAACCTGGTTTTGACGGTAAATCTGGACACGTCTCCTGTGGAAGGGCGCGAAGTGGCTCATGCCACAGCAGCCGTCATGTACCCGAACACCGGTGCAACATTCCGTCGCAAGCAGTCTGCAGTGACCTGGAAGATTCCCGAACTTGAAGTCAAGGCTGGCTCTGATGCCAAGTTGTTGGTCCGATTCTCGACGACAGCCAGTTGGCCACGACAAGGCAAGGTCGATGCCAAGTTCGAGGTTCACACGCTTGATGATGGATCCCGTCTGGGAATCAGCACCGCTTCCCCGACTAATCTGGTGAAGGGCTCTGATCCCTTTGCAGACGAAGAGGCCGGCAGTCAGACTCCTGAACTACAGCCATCTGTTGAATGGAAGAATGTCCCGACTGCCCGAAAACTGCTCGGGGGTAAATATGTCTCATCTTGAGGCTGGGTCCGCATCTTGCGTTTACCTGCGCACCACCCGTGTACGAACAAAAGACACTGTTAAACGCAAGGGCCTCGGCTACGATGTGAGCCTACGTGCCGTGTCCTGTCGCCCTTTCGCACCTCATGATAAATATGTCAAAGCCTCCCCGTCACGGTATATCAACATAATCAGTACTCGTTACTGTGTCGCCCTATGTCCCTACACTTCAATCCTCCTGTGCAAAGCAAGTTTATCTTTCCTGCCGTTTCTGCTGTATTTTCCTTTGTCTTTTTCCGATATCCTTTCCTTCCTGGTCATGTAATCTCGTTATCTGGCCTTTTTTCCAGCTCATGCTGAGCCTGATTAATGGTCTGTAAATAAGCTGCTCGTTCATGTTATTATTAGTTCCACTGTACTGGGTAATCAGGGTTGTACATGCTCTGCACATGAGCAATAATCAGGAAGGAGGATCGCCAGGCCGTACCTAACACCTATCAAGAAATCCTAATTAAATACTCAATACCCTGGAAGTCAGTCTTTGGCGATGTCTGACTACAGTAAGGGGACGGGATGCTGTCTACGCTTGCTTGTCCTCCTTCAGCTTTTCGCATTGGATTATGTCCCTCAGTGTATCGTTATCATGTACTTGCAATTAGGTGCTACAACCGTACGTTGTCCTCGAAATAGCCACTGCGTTTACTGCGTCTTCTTTCAATTACTATTAGGGTTGAGCCGTTGAGCATGATGACAGTAGTTAGTCGTTGCCATGGATACGGACTAGACTGTCACGGAAGCTAGCGATATCGGTACACATGACGCTAAAGCGTAATTAGCCCTTCTTGAACCACTGTAAGAAGGACTACTAGTTGCTACCAACCCTTGAAATGATGACTCGAGTCTTCATGAACAGAGAAATGTTATAACATGGCACCATAATACGTGTGTGCCGGGGAATCACATTGAAATTTGCATGGCCAAAGTAAAACTAAACCACATGCCCCTTAGGCAGATTCATATATCTTACATGCGCGCAGCCCTAGTAGTCTTATCGAAAAAGTCCAGCGTCATAGCAGCTAGGAAACAAGGGATATCTTTCCTCTCCTCGACCCAGAACTTTATAAGGTGCTTGATCTCCATGGCGAAGAGGCTGTTGGGACCACCCGAGATCTTCATCGTACCGTTCTCTCCGTCGAAGATAATTGAATTTTCTTCGCCGTTGCCCATGCTTCCTGGGCCCCGGGAGTCGGATGGAGCGTCATGGTCACCATGTCTGTAAGCAGCTGATAGATGGAACATCGAAGTGACTCGGACACGACCGTTAGGAAGGAAGTCCAGTTTGTATCCCAGCAGGGATGCAACAGCTTCGCGGAATTCCGACGACTTCGCCGTCCAGATTTCCTTCAGACGCCGCATACGCTTTTCCTTGTCCGCGACTACTCGCTCCATGTCTTGGACTTCCAATTTCATACTTTCCAGAGTACTTACTGGAACGACCTTTACACCCGAATGATCGCCACGTAATTGAGCAAGGAGATCCTGGTTCTCGGCCTTCAAGGTCCTGACAGTGGAGAGTTTGAGGTTTTCTGCCTCGGCAGTGGGGTTGTCACGCAGTTCGAGGATTCTGGTACGCGATCTAGCCTTGAGGGATTTGATCTGGGACTTGCTTGCCTCGAGCTCTTTGCGCAGGAGTGTCGCTGCTTGTTCGGATTTCGAAAAGGACTCCTGCAGGGTTCTATACTTGCGCGTCAAGACAGAAAGACGTTCGCTTTCTGCATCGCTCTCTGCTGGAGAGAGAGGTCGTTTGATTCCGCGCGGTTGAGACTCATCCTGCTGGAAAGGCTCGCTTTTAGCAAGCTCTTCATGGGCCTTTTCAAGCTCGGCCCTATACTCATCGACGAGCTTCTCGAGATTGGCGATTTGCTCGGACTTTTGCTGATCGAATTGATTTTGTTCCGGATTCATAGTCACCTCTTCCGTGTCAAAAGCCTTGAGTTGGGCACGCAAATAATCGACTTCTTTCACAGCGAGAGCCCGCTGCCGTTCGAGTCTTGCTTTCATACGGCTTTCTACCATAGCTCCACCCGCAACAGAACCGGCACTGCTCCGGAGTTTTTCAATCTCCTGTCGCAGGGTGGTCCGCTCTGTCTCCAAGTTCTTGATCGATTCGTCCTTCTCCAGGAACTGAGCCTCAACACTGCCTATCTTATCGACAAGAGTGGCCTTTTCAATGCGCTCTTGTAGCAAAGCCTTCACAACCGCTTCTGGAGAATCGAACTCGGCCGGCTGATCATTGTCTTGCAAGAGACTAGTCCAAGACCGTCGCTCGTCTTCCAACATCTGGATCTGGATCTGAGCAGTCCCCAGCTGTGACTCCACATCCTTCATCAACTGCAGCTGGTTTTCCAATGATCTCTTTTGCTCCTCCACAACTTCAACGTTCTTCTGTATTTTCCGTAGGTGTCGTAGTTCAGTGCTTTGTTCACGGTTTGTGGTTTCCAAATTCCTGATATGGCTGACTTGTTCGGAAAGTTCGCGCTTAAGAACTGAGAGTGTTTCACTATCTGTCCCCTCAGCCTTGAGCCGGAGGTTTTCCGTCTCCAAATCAGCAACTTCAGTTTCCCGTTGACGCAGCTTCTCTTGTGTAGTCTGCATATCACTCAGAACAGTCTGGAGGTCATTCTGTAGTCCCTCTATCGTCTTTTGTAAAGACGATCGTATGGTATCGAGCTCGCTGATCTGATATTTATACTGTCTTTCTTGATCGAGCGATTGTGCCTTTGAGTCTTCCACCTCCTCCTGAAGTAACTGATTTTGATCTTGAAGACTTCTGACCTTTCGCTCAAGGCCGGCTTTCTCATTAAGGGCATTGTCCTGGGTTTCTTTCAACTCTTTCGCTAGAGTCTCGCTCTTGTGGGTGGCCCGGTGGCTGTTACTCTCTGCAGCCTATGGGACAGAAACATGGTCAGTGGAATAGACATGAGGTAGTGGCCGAAGAATTGAACAAACCTGAGCTTTTCGGAAGTCCGAATCTGCCTTGAGCTGCAAATCCCGTAGTTCCTTCTCATGACGCAGGACCATCAAATCCCTCTCTTGCTTGAAATTCTCTAGCTCATACTTTAGTGTATTCACCTGTACTAGCAGCTCCTCCTTTTCCGTGTCTAGAGAGGGCATTAGTCTTGAAGCACGCGCAGCCTGAGATACAAGGAAACATTAACCTACCAGGCTTTGAGGGGTAAACTGAGCGGACCGATTGTTGCAAAGCGTCGGGTGCCGGTGGAAGTGACAAGGGAGATTCTGCGCGTATGGTGTCCCGCGAAGGACGTGAATTGATGCCTGAATTCATCTGAGGCGCATTAGCTTCCCTGAGCCAAACTGGCTGCACTTGACGACTTACGATGAATTGATCTGGCGATAGTAATTATCGTGCGACACGAGTTCTCAAGATGAGTTCATCCAAAAAGGTAAATCCCATATATATGTTCTGAATCGCCGCAGATTCCAGCCTTAGACTGAGCATAAGGGCGCAATCATCAGGCCCAGCGCCAGCAAGTGCCTCATTGTTTTTCGATAACAACAAGAAGAGCGATGACATCCCGGATAGGCATGTGGCTGAGTCAGCCAGCTCACCGCCCGCGCAAGCTTTGATTCTTAAAGAGGACTAGCGCCGAAATTTTGAAATGGATTTCGAATTTTTGCGGGTTTCGACGAGACCGACGACTATTCCTCCCCACGCCCGTCGCCATTCTCCTCGTCTCTTTCCCCCTCTTCCGGATTCAGTTCAACTCCCTGGGTGGGTCTAATATTCACAATGGCTAAGGAAAGGACCGAGAAGAAGGACAAGCGCGAGAAGAAGGAGAAGCGCGCGGAGAAGGACGGCGTCTCCAAGACCAGCAAGAAGGAGAAGAAGGAGAAGAAAGACAAGGTCGCTCTCGCCGACGCCGTCGAGAAGGAGCTCACCACTAAGGTTCTCGATGGCCTTGACCACGCTGCCACTGAGGCTCCTGTCAATGGCGCTGAGACCGAGCGCATGGACGTTGACAGCCGCCCCGTTGGCGCCGTTGTTCCTTTTGCCAGCCCTCTGGTCGAAGACAAGAATGCCAAGAAGGTCCTGAAGAGCGTCAAGAAGGGTAAGGATATATTTTTATCTTTTTGCATATGTCTCCCAGGAGTCCTGCCGCCTTCACTCTGGGTCCCGACGAGATGGCGTGTGGATTTGACTCACTTCTAGCCTCTGGCCCTGAGGGCTTACGATTGCCGCGTTTGGCATTGACTGCGCATCCATCTATCACTTGTTAAAATTCGCTAACGTATTGACTTATAATAGCTGCCGTCAACAAGTGCCTGAAGCGCGGTGTCAAGGAGGTCGTCAAGGCTCTCCGCAAGTCGCCCATTCCCGCTGCCAACGCCAGCATCGGTGTCCCCAACGGTGTCGTCATTCTCGCCGCCGATATCTCGCCCATGGACGTTATCTCGCACATCCCTGTCCTGTGTGAGGACCACGGTATCCCCTACGTCTTCGTCACATCCCGAGCTGAGCTCGGCAACTCCGCCGCCACGAAACGCCCCACCAGTGTCGTGATGGTTGTGCCCAAGTCGGCTTCCAAGGGCAAGAAGAAGGACGGTGAGGATGATGGAGAGGACTTCACCGAGGTGTTCGAGGAATTGGCCAAGCTCGCCCAGAAGGAGGCCAAGAAGGTGAACCTGTGAAGTTTTCAGCTGGACTTCTGAATCCACCTTTTCCTTTGCTCTGTTGTTTCTTAATTATACGGCTTCTTTATGTGTCTTGTCACTTTGCTGCTATGGCTGTACAGTTTCACTTTGTTGTCTGACAAGGCAGTGCATGTCTTCGGGGTCTGGCCTTTAGGACGTGTTCATTGGGTTGATCTTTTATGATGTGTCCGTTGCAAATCCGGCGTTCTCACATGGTGTATGAAAAAAGGCAGGAAGTATACAATAAAAATCCCAATCTTGACCAGAGCCTTCGTAAGCTGTTCGTACAGAGCGCCAATGGGGACCATTCTTGCTTCCATTGTTAGGGATGCGGAGAGAGAAAAGATTGACGGCAAGAGGGGTAAGCAGGAGAGCCCGCATTTCAGGGGATGAACCATATTTGCGACTATTTCTACTGGGGATTGCTCATCTTTGCGTGGGAAGATATCGTCGCCTTCATGGATCATTCGACATGGAAGAAATGCCCAAGGCGGCTTAGCGTGTGCCTTAATTCGGGAGGAAAAGCAATACGGAGTTAATAGAACATGCAACCAACCACCTCAAGGAGTTCAACCTTCTAATGACCAGCAATGAAAACGAGCTGGGGTAAAACCAGTTAGTTAGTGTAACATGTCGTGGCTTACACGAAGCTCCTTCCGTCATCCCTATCGGTCTTTATTCTCCGTCTTTCTCCTCTGGAAGGCCTCATTGCTTCTCCTGGCCATCTTGACTCCCGGTCCCGGGTATGATACCTCCACGACCTTATTTCCATGGCACAAGAACACAAATGAAACAGAAGGAATCATCCCATCCACCTTAAGGCGGATATCTACCAAGTTGACAAGATGGGATTCCATTTACTTTACTGAAGCGGCCAGACGAGGCCATCTCTTGGAGCAAGAATGGGCATTCAGTTATGCTTTCTCCAAATTCATTAATCTATTGGCCAGTGGTAGGCGTCTTTCATATACCCCATTAGCCAATCCTCTGTGTTCTAATATTCTTGATAGGCTTTACAAACATTGGGGCTATCCCCTATGAATTTAAGCATAGTGCACTCGGTATTGCCATTTCCCACGCAGCTCATGCCATCTCGGTGGTAGTTCTCTATCGTTTGGCATGCACTCTATTCCCTGGAGCGCAAGGACGCAAGCTAGCTTTTATCGCAGCATGCCTGCACATTATCTCGCCTGCTGGACTTTTCCTATCTGCTCCCTGCACGGAGAGCACGTATTCTCTCTTAAGCTTCACGGGCACTCTTCTCTTTGCTCAAAGTTTTGGTGCTCGCGGCGTCTCCACCAGCATCAAAGATAGCCTCCTAGTGCTTGCGGGTATCCTGTACGGCTTATCCACCGCTGTTCGTGGAAATGGTCTGCTCAATGGCATCGTTCTTTTCGAAGAAGCATGTCGAATCTTGTATTCGTTGACGCAAGGCTTCAGCTATGCCAAGTTTCTTCGCCTGGTTGCGGTCGGTCTCGGAGGTATCTGCACAGGGCTCGGGTTCGTGTTGCCGCAATATGTAGCCTACCAGCACTTCTGTGCCACCCACGAAGACCCGTCAAGAGAATGGTGTCATCGAACTATACCCAGTATATACAGCTTCGTTCAAGACCATTACTGGTAGGTGCCTTATTTCGCCTTGGTCAATTTTCGCTGACGCATGTAGGGACAATGGCTTTCTTCGATATTGGACTCTTTCCAACGTGCCATTGTTCGCACTGGCTAGTCCAATGTTGGTCATCTTGGTGTACTCTGCCATCTGGACGCTCGGGGTGGATTCTAGGCGGAGGGAAACACCCACGAATACAACGCAGCCAGGGTCCCCGACCGGCCAACTGACAGGTCGTCTAATGCGTAGCCTGGCAGCTCCTCAGATTACCCTTGCCGTCATGGTGTTTTTCTGCAATCATGTGCAGATCATCACACGATTGGCCTCTGGTTACCCAGTGTGGTATATATGGACAGCAACTTTAATCATGAACAGGTACACTGGTCCTTCAACTGCATCGAAGCGGCAGCTGGAGGAGAAGACCAATGACCGAAATAGTTATTGGCAGATAATTGTTCAGTACATGGTGATATACGCTGCTGTGCAGGGCGTGCTTTTTGCAGCGTTTCTTCCTCCGGCCTAGACCAGCACAGGCGACGCCGGTGTATATGACTAATATAGGTATATAGAAATCTGTGGTCGGAGGCCGACTATATAACATCAATGTCGGCTCTCGACTACTTTCTGGAAAAACTACCATAGCCCCAACCTCCACTACAGCAGCATGTGCATGATGACAAGACGTTGAGCTACATTGACATTACGACACAGAAGAAACGATCAATGATCTGGTCAGTCTCTGATTGTTCATATCATCTAGATAGATACACTAATACAGAAAAGGAAGGACGCAGTCCTTCCCAAAGAATAAGCCCATTCCTTCCAAACCCCCAAAAAAAATTACACACGGGGAAGATCCGAAAATATAAAACGCGCTTTGCTTTTCATAACATCATCCATCAATGGCCCAAATCAAGCCCTCTGGTCCGACTGCAAAGCCTGGTACGGGTGCTGGTTGTCGATGCCCTTCTGTCTGCCGGCATTGGTACCGTCAGGACCACTCTCCGCAGTCTTACGCTGGAAGCCACCCTGCGCCAAGCGACCGGGGTCATTCTCGCTACCGATGTCAGTAGTCCAGCTAGCGTTTGGTGCATCATCAGGAATATCTCCTTCCTTCAGGTTGGCACCCTTGGGCTTGCTGTCACTCAAGCTACCAGTCACATCGTGAACGTAAGACGGCGCAGCTCCAGCATTGTACTGGCTGCTGTAGCCGCTGCCACTAGCCTGAGCGGGCTGCTGCGGCGGCGGCTGCTGCTGGGAGTAGCTAGCACCACCGCTTCTTCCTCCTCCAGAGGACTGTTGCTGCTGAGACAGCTTCTGAGAAGCAGGGTACTGGCCCTGGCCGATATCGAGTTCCTTCTGGGCAGCAGTGGGACCACCGACGTAGCCGGACTCGGGAAGGTGAGCGCCAGGGTAGTTGCCCTGTCCGCCTAGACCCTCGGGGTACCTACCCCCAGTGTCGGCGTTGGATTCGAGCTTAGTGGCAGCACTGGTGTCGGTGTTTCGGACAGTGGATTGACCTGCGGAAACGCCCATGGGCTGGGCTCCGCGGTTCTGGGAGAAAGCGCCACCCTGGGTTGCTGATTCGGCGGCCAAGGAGTCGTTGGTGATGGGGCCAGATGGCTCTTGGATAGGGTTGTTTCTGCGCTCGGGGTCAGAAGTGACCTTTATTGAAGTCAGCATCTATGCCACAGTTTGTAAGTTGGGACGTGTTGGAAGGAAGTGACATACCTTGGTGCTTCTCTGGCCGGGGGGAATGGGCTGTCCTTGGAGATCCATAGTGATAATGGTTGTTATATGTGGTATAGAAGTATAGAAAGAGTAGTGTTAAGAGGATTAGATTACTGGACTGGTATAGCTGATTGATTGATTGTTAGATAGAATGAATTAAACTCCTATCCCATCCAACAACCCATCTATATACTCTACGACGAGCGAGCCAAATGAAACGGATGGCGTCAACTTCCCCGAGTCTGAGCGCTTTGCTTGAGTTCATCCCAGCACATGATGTCATACTGACATTACGACGAGTCCACCGAATTCAACAGAGAACAAGCGAACAGGTACGTCAACGAGCAGTATCTGGTCTCCAGTTGTGGCGTCAATAAAAACTAAACCATCGAAAAAAAAGGGAGACAAGCAAGACAGGAATTCCAGGTCTTCCAGATCAGCGAACTGGGCTGTTGTTTTCTACAGGGTAACCGGGCCCCTCCCCCCTCGCCCCTTCCCCTTTGTGCCGGATGTTGCCCTTGAGGGCCCAGACAACTTCGGTCGAATCCACCCACATGTCTGATTGCCATTTCCGGTAGAACTACTTGGGTATGAGTTCTTGCTTATGGTTCGTTGCTATGATGTTTTTGTTCTCTCTCTATTGCGTAGATATTGGCGATTTGGATGCTTTGCTGGCCTTCTGGTGGTATGGTTGGTATGACGTCATGGTGGTTGGGTGCATGAGGACTGCTCTCCGTTACTACTCATCTCTTGTTACAAAGGACATGTGTTCAATGCCTGGCTATTGAAGTGCATTATGAGATGCTTTTCGTTCTCTAGCTGCTAAGGTCTTGACCGTGCCGTTTGACTGGAAGGTCCTAGGGTTTCTGTCCGCAAGCCGATTGGACCGGCTGTGTAGTATTGCTTAGCCTACTTGAGTTGATAGTACTAGTAGTAATATTAGTCTACCAAAGTAGACTAGAATATGAAGAAGCTTTTATTCTATTTCGTAGTAGCAATTACAGATCAATGCCTAATATAGCTGATCAATCAAGCACATGAAACAATTGATGCTTCTTTTACTAGTTCCCGCGCGGGTAGATACTTAATATATTTATAGCATACAAGTGGGAAATGAACCAAGCTATCTCGAACAGCAATCTAGTATACTATTCACTATAAGAAAAATGATAGTGCAATACGACCATAGGGGGAATAGTAGTAAGATAAAATGGTTATAAGACATTCATTTTGGTTCATTAAATGCTCAAGTCATAATAGTACACATAAAAATAGGCCGTAGTCAATACGCCCTCCCCAACATTAACTCATGATATCCAATTTACCGGTAAAGAGCATCCCGGGGCAGACCTTCAAGGTTATCCTTGCCCTGGCGTCCAACACCACTCATGGGTTGCGTGTTCTTGTGGTATTCCTCTCCAGATACCCGGACACTGCTGCTTGCAGTTGCGGGTTCTCTCAAGGCGCTGTTGTTCTCGCCCGAAACGGGTCCTTCGCGACCACCCGAACCGACGTTGACAGTTCTCTGGTCCATAGAGTTCCAGTCGCTAGCACGAGGGGGATCCTCGGGCAATGGCAGGTTGGACTGGGCCTTATCGATCTGGGCCTGCTTGTCGGTGTTCTCATCGATGATGGACTAGAGTATATTATTAGCATCCGTCAAGTCAAAAGAGATATTAGGTCAAGTGAGGAATTACCTTCATGGCGGAGACGTTAGAGTTCTTGGGGGTCTTGCCATCATGAGCATGGGAGGCATGGGACTCAGGCTTGCGGATGTCCTGGATGGTGGTGTGGAAAGTCTGTTCGGACATTTTGGATGAGATTTTGTGTGTGTGTGTGGTTGATGAAGTGGTAGTTGAGGTGAAGTTTGTGATTTGAGATGCGATAGATTTATCGTGAGGAATGGATTGAGAGTTGATTGATTGTAAAGTTATTCTGATGGGATCAATGTACCCTTTAATATGTTGTTGCAGTGGACGAGAACCGAGGCGTGGCTGGTGACGTTGGCTGCGACGACGTCATACAAGCCGGCTACACCTTGGTTCGCCTTGCAACCAACCCAGCATCATTGACCCCTTCATCATTGGGGCTACAGTGTCCACTCAATCATGGAGACTATGAACGAATAAGACAAGTCTTGACTGGAAATCGTTCTATTGGATGAGGGAATATCAGAGGTTGCCGGTGAAACAACGTCCCCTGAAGCCTTGGAGTTGTCTGATCGATGATGGCAACAATAACGACAGTTCTCCGCATAGCAGAATGCTGATACTGTGTACCTTGGAATCTATCATTCCTTCTCATTCCTTTAACTTCTTGACCCATTTTTATTACATATTCATCTCTAAAGTCGCACCGGTGAAGGGACAGGAGTCGCTCTAAGCCAAGCCCCAGGTACATGGGATCAGCACGCCTGTGATGCCATATCAGATCTGATACTGAAGATAGAACAATCCAGGGACATCATCATGCAGCCCAAAGCGGGGTCAATGCTCGTTGAGATGAGTAGACATGCTAAGCAGACAGCTTCCCTAGTCTGACGAATGACGCACCACTTAGGTGTCCAACGATTCTCGAGTGCTATTGATGCACAAATCTGCAAATAAGGCTTGAAATCGCTACACAGCACTGGATTCAACACGGAGCACTGCTCCCCGATTATGATGCAAACACATCTCATCCGAGACTCAAGTCGTGCCTATACTCGTGAATACGTATCTCTGGTTGATACATGTTGTGATGTTGGGCTTGGACATTGGGCTAAGTCTGATCCAGTATAGTGAGTCTTCGGCATCTTACTCGCAGTCACGAACTTTCCATATCAGCATCAAGAACCATATAGATGTGATCTTAGGCTTGATCTCCGACTGTTTTGGAGAAGACAATACTATCAAGTGCGACTGTCAATTTGAGGTCGGACCGAAAGCGATGCATGTCACAACGCGTAGGCTATTGCACCCCACAGACGTAGCATGAAACCACTGAACTTTGTGGCAGCCCCAAGCATCGTTAGCAGCGTCAAGCATATCAATGTTATCAACGTTAATGCTTGAGAACGGAATTATATCGAAGAGATCTTGTTCAGATTCAGGGACAATCGGGGTCTCGATCGGGAACAGCGGCCTCCGACCGCCTTCCTAGGGAGGATGGCAGAAATTGATTGTCTCCCCGCTGATGCAGAAATGATCTCCCCAACACTCAAGCGATCAGATCGATGTTATTTCCTTAAAATCATTCTTTTCTTGCTCATATACCTTAGAATTGCTGCGCGCGTTGTAAGATGCCTAGAGATCCGTTAATTGGGCTGGTCGGAAAGGTCTGGGATTCTTTAACCCCTCATACGAGACGCCGCTGATCGAAGTGAGGGGCATGTAGCCATCCAGCGGAAAATCGACCACATTAAATAGTCTGACAGATGCTTCTTCCAAAGTCGGTAAGCTACTTAAGTTCTGCGCTTTGAATTGTGTCGGAGCACAAACTTATGGCATGTTTCACATCCAGGAAATTTCCCGTATGTTCAATCCTATTGCCGTTATCGTCCTACATCGATATCGATATCGCCCTTCGGACGCCGTAATGGACCGTTTATCAGAGCTGTTCTGACTGGCGAAACACAGTTTCACTACGATCGATCCTCAGCGCGCCATTGGCTACCTCCAGATAGAATGCGCCTGTCAACGATTCAATGTCTCCGATAAGTGCAAGCCGAACTACGGAGGTTGTGTGGAGGGACGGCGCTCTGTTCCGATTGAACTTCTGGATGTCGCAGGTCTTGTACCTGGCGCACACCAA